CAGTGACATAACAAGGGATACCACAGTTACTACACAGCAAGCGGCCTACGTAGTCTAGAGGTAACATTCCCACCTCATGACTCAGGTTACACGGGTTCAAACCCGGTGGAGGTCGTGGAATTTTTAAGGGCGGAAAAATTCAGGGAACAAGTCCTCCGGGAGGGACTTTAAGCCATGGGTCCCATGTCATAGATTTACGGCACGTAAAAGCTCCTCATGTCTCTAGGAGACCTCTGAGCAAAATTGGGCAAAGTTTCCCGCCCAAGTAGTTTCCAATGCCTCCAGTAGATGGAGAAGTATCAGGAACCACTTCCAGCTTTGCTGGCTGAACGGGGCTGATAGCGACCACCAGTATGGGCAGGGTATGGTGACTGGTAGAATATCAAAGGGGGACGTACAATAGACTATTAGTCGCGGTGCATGGGGAAACCCACCCCCTCCAATAATAATAATAAATAAATACTACACAGCAGTAAACAACTCTCAACAGTGTTGCTAGGCAACCTGTAAACATGGCATCACACAACAACGGTACCTATCACCTAACTGTTTTCTGTGTTGTCCATGCCAAGGCTAAATAAGGAGGAGTGAACACTATTCAGTGAGTGAGAATTGAGCCAGTTACAAGTGAGTTACTAGTGAGTAACGATTAACCAGTCAGTTGAATTGTAGCAGTGACCAAGTTGGGTTGTATCAAGTCCATGGCAGTGACTGCAGGAGAAGTATTTGTGATACTGCCAATGGCAGTAATTGTGAGATTGTAAATTGTGTGATTGTGAGAGCGAGTGTTCAATAAATTCACTATATCAAATAAGGCGTGAAGTTACTTGTTGCATGACATATACCCAACACGTTACAATATATATATATATATATTGTAACGTGTTGTGTTACTGAATACGCCGTAGAGATTGTTAATTGGTTTATTCAACAACCTACAAATAACGGCTACAATTAATTATCACAATGTTACGGGTTTCCACACTTTACAAATCCTACAACAAAATCTCTTAACACTATCTTCCAGAGTCTTCACGTATTAACAGCGCGGGAGCTATACAAGTCTCCCTGAATTACACGCTCCAAATATAACTGGTTATCACGAACTATCACTGATTCTCGCACATGCGTCTGTAGCTTGTAACTTGCAAACTGAGAACTCGTTGATAACACACTGACTCTCGCTTGCTGCTCAGCTGGCTTTTATTCCGTTCGCTTTTGCTAGGGTCGCCCGCCACGTCACTACTGTGACTTAGCGTATAGCCTAGCAACGCTGTTCGGAGTTGTTGACTGCTGCCTAGCAACCGCGATATCCCTTGGTGACGTCACCGCTGTTGACTCACGTTGCACAGCTACCAGGTTGCGGGGACTCGGCTAACTTCGGCTCCGCTCGGCACGTCACCGCGGGGAGAGTGGCAGGGTGATGACTCGCCTATTATCGCAGTAATGAGAGCGCTACGTTACCGCCACGTGCCGCTGGGGAGGTAGGGGTCCTCCATTGCGCAACATGTCACACTGCTCCCTCCTTAAGGCTGTTCGTCCCGAATAGCCTAACGGTGCTTCCCCCGTTCCTTTTCTTTGGAGGCTGTTCTTGCAGCATCTGTTCTCCGGCCGTTACAACCGCTCCCTTCTTAAGACCAACTCGTCTCGAGAGGTTTCCTTTGCTTCTGCTTGTTTTGCCGGGGGTACTCTCCCCCGTGGCTGTCGAATTGGTCGGGCTTCTCCCGTGTCTATGCGGTGATATACTTTGTTTGTCCTTCCATAATCTTCGTTGTCTTGTGCGAAGATATCGGCGTACTCGGACACGAGATCCTGAAATTCTCCGGGGCGTAGGTGTGGCTTGGCCGCTGTGGTCACGTCCGCTAATTTCGGTGTTAGACCTGGTGCCGGTGGCTGCCCCACCTCGGGCAAAGCTACGAGTGTTACTGGCTCACAGTGCGCCAGAGGGGATCCTCTCCTGAGCTTTTGGTCCTTGTGGGTAACATTCACGACCCTCACTGGTACTTCTTGACAGTCCTGAACTAGAGTCCTGGCTACGTAGATTCACTCAGGCAGATGGGCCTGTGGGCTTGGTTCTACTAGACCATTCTCTACTCCCAGATGATTCTTCATTTTTGCCATCACTATTCCCTTGCTCCGTGCGGGTATCACATGGTCCTTTGCCACTACTAAGTTAGAAGGATGGGGTCCTGCC